TTTACTGCTATGAAGTGATCACCTGAAAAAAGCAAGGAGAGGACACACTGATCTACAGCACAGAGCAGGGGAAATATGTATTTGCTTATTAAAAAAAAAGACAAAAACTGGGAAAAATTCTTGCTGATTGTGACCATCGTCCCTTTCCCTTTAGTGAGTAGCCAAAGCACTCGTTTGCTTAAGATGATAGTTGGGTATGGGTTATGAGTGGACATTGCATACACTTTCCAATGAAATGCCAAATGTTCACTTTTTGCTTTTGAAGTAATTTGTGAAAGTTTTGTTTTGTCAGTTATTGTGCTTAATATAGTATATAGATTGCTCTTGCATTTCATTTGATTGTCACAAACAATGTTTCGAGTTAGGTAGTACAAGAATTATATCTTTTACATAGGAGAAGACAGGCTCTGAGAGGTACAAGTTGAGGTGTCCATAGTTTTAAAAGTGAGACTTGATAGAAGAGGAATGTAAACTCCAGATCTGTGGCATACAGGAACAGAATATATAGGATGACGCATTAAGTCGGCTGCTTTGGGTGCTACCTTTTTTCTTGCCCCCCTTTTTTAGCGTATTAAAGTAATTAAGCTTTAGGGTTAAAACAGTAACATTGCATAACGTGAAATGAAATGGAGGTAACTTCGAAGCCAAAAATGTTCTTAAAAGTCCAAGAAATTGAGCAAAGCATTCTTTAGAAATATATAAAGGAAAAAATATATACTTCACTATGTGAAATGTCGCATCTCAGTCATGGTCACGCACGTGAATTGAGGATTAAAACAAGGCAAGACTGAGAACCAAAGTAGAGGCAAGTACAGAAGTGGTTTGGAAGCCAGAGTTAGCAAGGCTCAAGTAAGCAGTCGACTTTGGGACGCACGAGCGTGCTGTGTGCCCTCTGGTGAGGCAAGCCAGCTCAAGACTACCGGGTAGGAAGTACCTGACTGGGGTGGAAAGTGTGGACTCAAAGAGATAAAATCATCCGTGTATATGTAATTGTAGGACTCGAAATGTTTGTATTGTGGGCCATAAAACTAATACAGTGTACACTGTAGGGGTGACAAAGCAGTTCAGTAAATGCAGGAAGCCTTAAGTAAACAGGTACCCAGCAGGTGGCCCAGAAACTGCTGACATTTCTATTTAATTGGAATATGTTGAAATCAATCTTTCTGAAATAGGCTGCTTCTATCAAATATTTTCTTGGTCACTACTCTGTCCCTCTGATATTTTGACAAGGAAGAATTATTTTTGACAGTTTACGATTACATAATTTTAACACTTTTAACCTTTTAGTAATGCATTTCATTTATTCTAAGTTGCCTGTATTTTCACATTTTTAACATCTGTGCAATTGAGATGAATCTTACAACTGATAGAATCTTAGATTGAGGAAAAGCAATATTTGATGTCAGTGTTTTACAGATTTCTTCCTCCGAGGAATATTTACATTAAGACTGGAGTTTAATTTTTTTTTTTTGAAGTCATACTTTTCCTACATCAACCTATCATGCTGTCAATTTAAGTTGCAATTTAAATTGATAATGCAAAAGTGGTGGGTCTTAAAATACAATTTTAGTCATAACCCCTAGTCATGAGCTCAAGAATATTTCTCCTAGGTTAAAACATTCTTAGAGGTTTCTAAAGAAATAATTTTTGGAAAGATTCATGTATAAGATGCACAGTATTTTCCTGACATCTCTCTAAATCACTGTACACATGCATGCATGTGTGCATGTTGGGGAGGGGGTGGTAATGCTTTGCTTAATAGTTGGCAGTCTTACCTTTGTGCTAGTGAAAATAGTGTAGTCTGGTTTATCATAGTCTCCTTGGGCTCTTGGGAAAACAGTTAATGGACAGTGCAGAAATGGAGTGCTTGTGTATGTTTACTGTCTAATGGCTTAAATATCCATTTTATAGTATAGTGTTGTGGTATCTGTCACTAGCAAAAAGTGCAAATTATAAAGAAAATATTTTTTTCTTTTTTTTTTTTTTGGTGAGAAAGACTGGCCTTGAGCTAACATCTGTTGTCAGTCTTCCTCTATTTTGTATGTGGGTAGAAAATTGTTGTAGGCTATAGACAGAAGATTAATATTTTCTGATAACCTCATGCAAATTGACATTCGGGCCCTGGTGGGTACAACACATACGGTACATACAAATAATAGGCAACTCACCAAAGTGGAAATAGCGCTATTAACTATGGGAAAATGGTCAAACTGTGTAATCAAAGAAATGCAAATGAAAGACTGTGAGGTTCCTCATTCACATTAGTAGGAAATTTTTTTAAAATATCCAAAGCTGGGGTGGATACTTTAAAAAGGAGCTAAAACTGGTATGATTGGTTGCATTATACAATAATATAGAAAGCAATTTAGTGTTATACCTTGAGCCATGAAAATGATCTGGCCTTTTGGTCTAGTCATCTCATTTTGAAGATCTTTCCTAATGAGATAAAAAAAATTATTTAAAAAAACTGCCTGAAGAGTTTCCTCATAATATAAGAACAGAACTTTGTGAGCACCTAAACCCCAACAACAGAGGATTGGCTAAGTACACTTGATGGGCCATTATGTATCAACGAGCCGTAAATATGCTGCAGTGGGGTGGAGATCGCTTCTCAGTAACAAATAGGGCATGAATTGTACGCTGGTTAGAGCTATTTGTTTTAAAAAGACATGAAAAGTTACTAAAAGTAATTGTGAGTTTATGGGTAGTTTTTAAACAAAGCGTTATTTTGGCTCTTGCAGATTTCTGTTCGTGATAAGCTATTTGTTGAAGGAATGAGCAGGTGACGTTTACCTATCCCCATCCTTAGTGGGATCATCAGTACTGCTGATTTAACCCGGTCTCTTTCAGTTGCAAGTTAAAGAAAATCTGTCTCAAAATAGCTTAAATTTAAAAGAATATATTGACTTGTGTAACCAGAGTTCACGGAGTAAATTGGGTACTACTTGACCCAGGAATTAAATGATCTTCTCAGAACCTGTCTCAGTTCTGCTCTTCTTTGTTCCTCTCTCCTGAAAGGGAGTGTCCAGCAGCTCCAGACTAGCTAAGGCTCCTGGAGTCCAGCTCCGCCTTTCTCCTCTGGTTCTTGGAGGTCCCAGGGCAGCTGTGAGTGATGGGCAGCCATGGGGCATGTGCCCATCCTAGAAGCCTAGGTAGGGTAGTGGGAGTGCCAGCTTGTTTCCTGTCACTGGACTAATTTTGCTTTTTTTCTGCGTGTGGTCCTTTCTTTTACCCCAACTCTTGATTTTTGTGTTTAAATCCATAGTAGCACATCTTGGTTTGGGGGAGTGTTTTGTGTGTGTGGTGTGTGTTTTTAAGCCTGCTCCTCGTTTGATTCTGGTACTTGCTTTTCCTGGACTTCCCATTGAAAACTTTGATTGTGCCATAGGCACTGATACATAATGTGGCTACTAATGCAAACATTTCTGCTTGCTTTTTAGGTTCAAATGCAGTATATTTGCTTTCTTTTTGGTAGGAAGTAGTCATGAATCCTTTCAGAAGTCTTAGGTTAGAGGCAGCTGTGAAAGTCTCTGCCTGTCACTTTGTGCACAACTGAATTAATGTATTTTTCAAATATGTGGGGAAAAAAAACTTGACAATAATTTTATGGGTCTTTTACATAAAAATGTTGAATAGTTTCTCCAAAAGCAGTTCAATAAACTTCAAATTCAAAGAGTGAATTTCCTTGAAGAACAAAGCAATTGGTTTAGCTATGTAAATTTCTAGTGCTGGCAGTACCGTTAAAGTGGATGGTTCAGATTCCTGTTAAACCAGGAAGTCGCAAATTATGTTTGTGCAAGATTCTAACTATTACTTGGAGGAAAAAAAGGATTCTAGGTAGATAAATCTGTGAAATGCTGAATTAGACAGTATTCACTACTAGACTGATGTTTTTAATTTATCAATGTGCATTTTGATTCTCTAAGAGCCAGGGATTTAGTGTATTTCTATTTGACTGCCAAACTCCCTTTTTAAAAACAACAATTATTATGTGGTTTGTGAAGTATTGCCTTAACCATTACTCTATCAGGATCTTGGTCCAATTTCTTACAAGATTGGTTATATGGTTTGAGATGGATATTGCCGAGGAGTGTCATAGATTTGTTGGTTTTTTTTTTAATGGCAACCTTATTATCCCATACGGTGGCAAATTTTCTTTTGTGAAAATTCAAGTTCCTGTTTTGTATTCTTGCCTAAATAGAAGACTGTCCCACATTGGTACAAGGTGGACTGCGGGCAGACCTATCTTTATGTAGGTACAACTAAAAGTTTTTGCAAGCAACCCCATGATCTGCTCCAGAAAGGACTCTTATTGAAGCCCCAAATTAATCATATGGCATGGAAGGAAGAAATGAGAATTAGCTTTGGAAATTGAGACCAAAAGTTAAAAATCACTTTCTATCATGAAAGTGTTCCTAAAGATTAGAACATTGAACTTTTATGCAGTCCTCTTACATCTGTCATGTTGAATAGCTCCCAAATAAATCACAGCTGACTAAATGAGTTCATTTGTTGAATGGAGTTAGAATTTGCCATTTGATTGTCTAAAGAACATTTGCCAAAAAAAAAACAAAAAACAATCACTTGGTTTTGACGTATGTATTAGCTGGTATCTGACAGTAATTGGCCACAGCATATAACTTGATTTTTGAGATGTTTCTGGAATGTGCTAGTAATATCAGTATAAAGTAATATCAGCATATTTCTAATTGATAAGTAGGAGGGGGAAGGCACATATATGATTCATCTAAAAGTTGCATAGATGATTTAGGTGCAAGTTAAAAAAAAAAGTCTAACAAAGCCTGGTTTTATTCCACAGGTATGGATAGATTCTATAATTTTGCAGTTTCCCAGTAGAACTTTTATATTGTTACCTTTACAAAAATTGGCTTTTTATCATTACTTAAAACTCTTCCCACGATTGTTAAAAGTAGTTAAAATTGATGTGTAGCTATTTTAAAAATCATGTATTTCTCTACAACTAAATGATCACACCTTTTTCTCTTCTTCCTGTACAGACTTAGCTTTGGAATCAAACCCTTCTGACCATCCAAGGGCAAGCACAATTTTCCTGAGCAAATCTCAAACAGATGGTAAGAGAATATTTTTTTTTCCCCTGAGAAAAGAATTGAAACTGCTTTTGTGTATTATAGAAAGTATTTAGAAGAACTCATACATTGGTTTAAATGTTTTACTTTTTCATATATTCACTTGTCTTATTTTAATATGTGATGATACACTTTCCTTTAGTTGCCACTGTTTTAGTGAGGAGAACACGAGACTATCTGTTTACACTTGTTGCTGCCTCTTGATCAACACAGTCAGTTGGCCACATGGTTTAGATGGGATCTGTTTTTCCATACTACTTTGTCCTTTTCCCTTTGCTCCAAAGAGCACACGTTTTAAAGATGAATGATAGGATTTAGGTCACAGGTTTTCATTTGAGCAAATCAAAAGAACCAGTTGTTTATTTATAGGGATTGAATCTGTGATTTTGGTCCCATTTTTCACAGTGCTCAACCAAATGAGCCTCTCTCACATCCAGATGTATGCTACTCAGAACTTTTAAGCTATTCAGAACTTTCTCATCCTGACATAATGCTGTGCCAGGTACATCAGAGCAGCCATGCCCTATGGCGTGTCCCAGGTTAGCCTCAGTGTGTGAAACTAGTGCAGTTTCCTGTGTTCTGCTTGTTTTAGGATGAGAATCAGAACTGCAGGATGGTAGTGCTCCTGCTTGCCGGCTTATTTTCCTTAATGTGATGTTAAATCCAGTTTATTTGCTAAAAAGCCATACATAACCAGGTTTTTCAGTTGATTATGACAGCAGGAATACAAGAAGTGAGGGTTCCATAGTATTTGATGTAATGCAGCACAATAAAAATGGAGGTTTTTAACCTGTGTTTTCATAGTGTGTATACTTTGCCTGTCTTGAGCTGATCATTTCTGCTTAGGATTTTGGTGTTTCTCAGTTTGTTCCAGAGCCATGGGCTGCTCACATGTAGAGAGAGAGTGGAGACAGTGAAAGAAAAACTATCATGTCCCTCTCTCCTCCATCATATGTAGTGCGTGCCCATGATGCAGTAAAGGAGGCAGTGTGGGGACAAAGTGCGGCCCAAGACCTCTTTGGAGCTTTGTTCTTCTGGTCTTTGGTAGAGCAAAATGACTTGGTGTGCTGTAGATATGTGTTCAACTGGGTTAGCACACTCATTTTAAAATTTAAATTTAAGACATGTTAACTTTCCAGTTGTGTAAAGACCCATTTATTTTTTTAATAAAATATTTTAGTTGATTACCAGTAAGTGGTTCAGCATGCTTCCAGGGGTACTGGTGCATCTCGAGATTAGTGCCTGTTCAGAAACTGGTTCTTAGAGCCGTCAGCTGTTAGATCCTGGTAATTAAAGCAACCTGTGTGTAAATGTAGACTTAGAAACTATTACTGGGTAGTGGTTCAGCTATGCAACAGGTAAACGTTTTTATTAGCTAAATTGCTCACCTGGCCTAATCTGCTTTGCCCTTTTCTTTTGTATCTAGAGAGTCTTTTCACTTGCACCTAATGTAGAATATCTGTTAGGTCCAAAAGTAAAACTAAGTTTTTAGATTTTGCTTTGTGGGACTCATCTTGCCAGGTGATTTAAATTATAAATTTTGTTGGAAATATTAAAAATAACAGAATGGAATTTTATCTCACTTTATATGTTGGTAATCCGTCAGAAAATTAGCAACTACTTTTATTTTTCTGTGGCATTGGTATTAGAATTGATCGGTTAATTCTTTTTGTTCTTAGTGCGAGAAAAGAGGAAGAGCAGCCATGTAAACCATGTAAGTAAACGGTTGAACAGTGAAGTAAGAAGCGAATGGTGTGAGTTAAAAGTCTGTCTGCCGTGGCTCCTAAGAAGTGCAGTGGACCCAGTACTACTAGCATGGACCTCTGTTTGTAGATTTTCTAACTCTCTTCTGTTTTCCTAATTATCAAATATATTCAGGAAAGTCCTTGGCTTAGTAGTGCCCATTCTTTAAGAGTTCTGACACTTAAGTTAAAGATCAATATCATGGTTGTGGTAGAAAGATCTGCCGTAAATTTTTTTGCCCTAATTTTTTAATCTTAATTTTTCATGAAAGTAACAAAAGTATAATTGCTAAGTTAATTTTTAGCACTATCTATTGACTTCCTGTCATAGCAGGAAAGCTTGGCTTCCTCCTTCTGTTTCTTCAACATATATCCTGGTTTTTATTAAATCAGAATCAATGCAATGGCTGTGCATATACTTCAGCGCTGAGCTGTATAGTTCTCTGACTGTGCCACCTCCTTGTACACCCTTCATTCTTTTTCTTAAATGTTACTGAAATCTGACTGCTTCTGCACTTCTCCAGGAAAATCCAATCCCCCTCTTCCTGGCCAGCGTGATCTCATGCAGCCAAATGCAATAAGGAGCTCCCTGGCCGGTCTTCCTGCTTTCACATTCTTTTTTTTTTTTCCCTACCTAACAATCTGGTAATTTGGCAGAGAATGATCAGACAGAAATACATTTGTGCTGCATTAACTTAATTAATAATTCTTCATTTTTATTGTGGAATTAATTTCCTGACTATATTGACTTGCCTCTTTTCTAACAGCTATTATTTTCCCCAAATGTTGTAACATTTGTCACATGCCTATCAGAAATATTTTCCATCTACTAAACACATCTGTTCCACTTTTTTCTTGGAGACAACCTTCCCCGGCCCCTTGTCACCCTACTCCATTATGGACTGGTTTTCCCTGGGCCTGCTCTGTGCCTGTTTTCCTGGGATATCTCTTTGGAGTCATCTAGGGTCTCACATGACTGCTCTCTTGTGTTGAATCCCGTACATCCTAGATTCTCTGGTTCCCTCTGTCTTGGTATACTCCCTTGTTTTACTGGAGCACATTTCCCTGGGAAGAGCACATGGGCAGAAGTTTGTAGAAATCTAGCTTCTCAGAAACTTCTCTTTGATAAAGTATAGAATTCTAGGTGGAAACTAAGTTTTGCAGTTCTAAAGACATTTCTGTTATCTTCTCATTTGCAGTGTTGCTCTTAAAGCTGATGACATTGTATGATACATTGTATGTTACCAATTTGTCATTTTCCCCCCTCCTCCGGAAGCTTTTAATCCCTTCTCTATCCCTGGGATTCTGAAATTGCATAATATGGTTTGGTATGGACCTTTTCATTTTATTGGGGCTATTAAGTCTGCAGACTGTCTCTCCTAGTGAATTTTTTTGTTTCTTTGATATTTTCCTCTGTTCCTTCTTTTTCCTAGTATTCCTATTATTCAGATGTTGGAACTCTTAGACCAATATTCCTGCATGGATCTCTGATTTTTTTCCCTTCCTGTTTTCCATTTTGTCTTTTTATTCTACTTCCTGGAGATTTACTTGACTTTATGCTCTAATCCTTTCATTGAATACTTTGTTTTGTCTATCTTATTTTTAATTGATAGAGTTCTTTTATATTCTGCCATTCTTTTTTTTTAAAATAGCATTTGGTTCTTTCATCAATGCAATTTCTCATCTCTCTGAGAGTGTTTGAGTATTTGTTTTAAGTTTTCATTTGCTCCTGAATTTTATCACTCCCATCAATTCCTTTTTCCTATTTTGGTCTCTCTTACTTGTTGGGGGCTTCCCTCAAATGTGTGGTGGTCCCTGGCTGTCTCTTCAGATCTAAATGGAAGCACCATGAGTGAGCAAGACTTCTGTTACATGATGGGCTTCACTGCAAGGATTTGGGGGCCAACCTCTGCATTCTGAGCCTGCCCTGGGTTCTCTAAGACAAATTGGCTTTCTTGTTCCTGTCCCAGTCACTGTCTGAAGGCACCAAGGTTGTGCTTCGTCTGTTCTGCCGTGTCCCTTATCACTCCTTTATCTAGTCTTTTCATTTTCCAAACATTAAAAACCATCTGCTGTTTATTCTGTATATGGTATAACATTTTTTTTATGCCTTTATTTCTAATGAGATATCTCTGAAAGGCAGGGGAGAGGAAACAGACTTGTGGTCAGTCCACCATGTTTAACTCAAACTTAGAACCTATCTTTAAAGTGTAAATTGAAGTTTAACTTTTAATTCAATATAATTAATGATATTAATTCAGACAGTATTTTTGGTTGTACCGATAATTAGCATATTACACTTTTCTGCTAAGGCCTTGATTAAGAGTTCTGTTTAAACCAGGCACCCTGCCGTATTGTCCTGTTAATGTGTAACGTAGATGGAGTAGTTTTCATTAATGCATAAAGTGTTAGAAATTTTTAAGTCAATTAAAAGTTTTAAAGAATTAAAATTAATTCTTAATAAACATATCTAAAACTTGTGAGAAAGGGGAGAGAAAAGAGTGAACTTCACTTTATTTTGTAATGGGTTGAGATGAGACGGGAGGCACAGTGGGAAGAGTCAGTGGCTGGGGCAGGATTTCAGTAGGCACTTGGCCTTTGATGGTGAGGTTTGGGGTGTAGCTTACTAGACGTCTAGGCATGACTACATTCTAGTCTTTGCCATTGAACCTTAAGTCTTCTAAGTGACACCTTCCCTTTCTTAAAGATTGTGAAAGTCCCTCTGTTCTGTCATTGGTGCTGAATGACTGAGATAAATACTGTTCTTTGTCCTTGTCTGTGCTAGTGACCAACTGAGATAATAACTGTGAACACTGAACTGTCACTAGTGTTTTCTGCTGTTTGATTTTTTTTTAGTATTTGCATTTTATATCCTACGTTTGTCAGTGTAGTTTATTGAAGTTGTGAGCCAGCAATAGTAAGGCTTTAACCATAAAGACAATTGTCTTAAATTTTCAAGCAAGATGAAGGGAAAGTAACCTGCTGTGGCAGTTAATACACGCTGGCTTTGCTCAGAGGCTTAACTCTGCCACTCTCTAGTAAGTATTAGATACTTGATACTGAAAAGTTTGAGTAGTTGGGAGTAAGCCTGGATGGATGGGGAATTGTTCAGTATTTCTTTGGTTGGATCTAGCCAGTAGACTGTAAGTTGCTAATTCACTAAATGAGCCCCCATAGGGCTGAAGGACCACATCTAATTAAAATTTTCAAATGTTTTAGCACTAATATTTTCAAAGACAAACCAATATACATTCATAATAGAAAAAAAAATTTAGGTAGAGGAAAATGGGTACAAGTATCACCCACAGCTCTACCAACTCATCTATATTTTGGTGCATTTCCTTCCTATTCTTTTTATTCCTCCCATATATAGCTGTTTGGTCAGAATTGACTTTCCTTATGGTGTAGTGTATGTCATATTACACCCTAATAGTAGTGACCTTAAAAGATAATCTTCCATTCAGAATAAAAGTATTTGAATTAATGAATTTTCATTTTCATGCTGTATTTGTTTTTTGAGATTCTGAAACTAAATTACATATTAACTGAATAGCTTAAGGAACATATCAGAGTTTTAGGTATAGTTAAAACATTTCTACCTTTTTTTTTTTTTTTTTTTAAGATTTTATTTATTTATTTTTCCCCAAAGCCCCAGTACATATTTGTCTGTCATAGCTGCACATCCTTCTAGTTGCTGCATGTGGGACGTGGCCTCAGCATGGCTGGAGGAGTGGTGCCTCGGTGCGCACCCGGGATCCGAACCCGGGCCGCCGGCAGCAGAGCGCACGCACTTAACCACTAAGCCACGGGGCCGGCCCAAAACATTTCTACCTTGAGTTTAGTACTCCAAATGTGATACTTTTCAAAAATATAATGTCTGGAACTTTTTGTTAATAAGTGTAGTAAAACATCTGAAACAAGAAAAATGGTGTTTTATGTACCATATAGATATTTATGATTATTGGCTACTGGCAGTTTTTAAATGCTTTGTATTTTAAAAAGCATCAACTAGATTTTTTCTCTGCCTCATCTTTTGTGTATTTGTGGGGGACACTGTTGGGAGAGTGTGACAGCATGGTGAAAACTGTTTTATATCAATAGAAGGAAGGAAGGCTCATCTGAATTAAACAAAGTATTAAAATTGTTGATATTCTGTGGTATTAAAGAATGCTACTGTTACTGTCAACTGCTTACCATGACTGTGATTTGGTTATTGGCCTCAGTTTAAGGAAGAGAATTGTCCTCACATAGTTGAGGCGATTTCAGTATTTTACTATTGCTGTGTTCTTGGGCTCTTCACAAATAAATGGATACTTCTAAAGTGTTTTAAAGATAGTTTGTTCTCTAGAAGGTCTCAAAAAGTTCATTGTCACCTCTCCAATACCACTGCAGATAAATTCTCACTAATTTGTATCTGTAGAAAGACTTACCTTCCAATTATAATTGATTTTAAATAATTTGTCAAACACTTGTGGGAATCCTGATTTGTCCCAGATTCTGTGCTCAGCACCTGCAGGTAGGAGAGAGGAAAGAGTCCTCTCTTCCCTGGAGAAGGTTACTTTCTTATGCAGGGAATACCCTGCAAGCAATTGATGTCATGTAACACGTGGTAAACCAGATGTGTGAGCGAGCAGAAAGGGACACTTTTTGTGGTGTGGCTGTTGGCAAACATATCCTGGAGCTAGATGGTTTCAAGCTTGCTGAGAGACAAGGAGGAAGAAAAAAGCAGTGTGGACGGAGAGAGCATGAGTGAGGCAGGAAAGTGTGATGAGTGTCAAATAACTTATAGAATAGAATTAATATAATTTTGAAATGAGTGGAAAGTATTCTCTAAGGTTCTCACTTGAGTAATGTAATGACAGTCTTATCTAAACATGAAGTGAAAATTAAATTCTCAAAGTTATTTTACCTGTTTTTTGGATGTGAGAGAATCTTAAAACAGTACTCTTTTATCCTCCAGATAAGGCAGCTGAGGCCCAGAGAGACCTGTGGCCCCTAGCATGTTGGTAGTGATGACGGTGCCCTGGTGCACGAGGCTCTGTCTCGAAAATGTTTTGTCACGCTGTCTCCTGAACTAATACATTTACTGTTGGCATTCATTTACTGCAATAAAATGCTCTTGCTTCAGTATTGTGTAAGGCATCACATTTTATTGTAGTGAATGAATAGTAAAAATAGAAAATCTCAGCTGCTTTTCATTGCTTAGGAAAAAAACACTGAAATCTTATCCTGAATTTTTTACGTTATTATAAAGGGAGTTTATAATAGGTGCTTGGCAGGTTTGATTATAGGTACTATGTCAAGGGCAGCATTTTATAACCCCTTCCTCACATCTCGTCTGTGGAAGTTAGAGTATCCACTGGGTTTCCCATGGAGCTGCACACGATAGTCACACTCAAGCAGTTCATGGAGTGTAAGAAAAGTCTTGATGCTTAATCGTTTGACATTTTAACCAAGGAAAAAACACACTTCTATAGGTTTAACTTACTGTGACGTTTTCTTCTATTTCCCTTCCCCTTCAGGTATCTCCAGGGCAGCTTACTAAAAAGTATAGCTCATGCTCAACAATATTTCTAGATGACAGCACAGTCAGCCAGCCTAATCTTAGAACCACAATAAAATGGTGAGTACATCTAGGTTATCAAGGGCTGAGTGACAGACCCCCTTATGCTAAAAGCATCCTAGCCACATGCCATTTCAGTCACTTGAGTGTCCTTTTCAGTGATCAGGTTAAGAAACTGGTGTCAATTATCTATTGATTTCAAGGACCTAAATATGAATTTTCAATTTCCATTTTAATCTTAGAGTGCATGGTGGAAGGAAAAGCCAGTTAGCAAATAAGAAATCTCAGAAAACGTATATACATCTTTATTTGATGCATTTCTGTTGTTAAGACGTTGTTGAACATAATGAAAAGGAGAGGGTCTTTTTATTGGATGTTTCTAGAAAACATTATTTCTTTATGAGATATGGGCCTAAAACAATGTATACTGCTTTGGAAGCTACTCTTGGAAGAAGGAACAGCTTGTCCCCTACTGGCACCAGAGTGTATCTGCATTTAAATTTAATTGGATTTTGTCAGATTTTGCCCATCATGCATTTTTTTTCCTGCACTATTTCTGTGTGAAAATTCACTTCTCCTTCTTATCCCCCAAAGAGGGGGAAATTATATCGAACCAGTCTTAAGGAACAACTTCTCAAGCTTAATTTCTTTATGGATAAAATTTGTTTGAGGTTTTAATTTAATAGACACATTTAATTTAATTTTATATATGTGTATAAATATATCATCATATCAATCCGTATATAAGAAAATCACAGCAGAGAACATTGACAATGATGAAGTTTTGGAAACACAGCTATGGTTAGGTTTATACTTAAGCACACATGAAAAGTGTGGTGGTTTCCAGGAGCACCTCATAGTCCACAATTGGAGATGCACTTTCAGAACACCCTAAGATGGACCTTTCAGGCTTATTTGAGGGAAGAAAATATATATATATATATATATATATATATATATATATATATATATATATATAGGATCCAGAGCTTCCTGACTCCTTTGGGATTGTCTAAGATTATTAACGTCTCCTTGGGATATGAGTGTTGATTTTCCAGAACATAGTTTGGGAAATGCTACTTGAAAATATTAATATCCTTATCCCTAATTTTATTTTTCAGTCTTAAAAACATAATTAGCTTATAAACTTAATTTTGGTTCTAATGTACCAGCTTTGTAAGCTAATTAAACTATCAGTAACTTCTACTTTAGTTGAAAACAGCAAGTTCACAGTCATAATAATGTAACTTTCCTCTCTCACTTATAACAATAGTTGAGATCAAATTGTATTTCAGCAGAAGCTGAGCACCATCTCTCTCTAAAGTCCTGAGCTTTGGCACCTATTGAATAATCACTAAATGTTTTTATTCAGCCAAGACACTAAATTCATGGGTAAAAGCTACTCTACTTTGGCTAGAGTCCACAGCTTCTTTTGAATTCAAAAGATTCTGATATGTCAGTATATAATTCAAAAGTAGTTTTAAAGATTAACCTTGTTCAGACAAGTATGTTTCATGCTTTTTCCCCCAGCTTAATTTTTGGAAGTTCAGTAAGTTTTAATTTGCTCTCATTAAGTTTTAAAAATGATCATTCGGTACATTAACTATTGGTGAAATAAAGGCTTACTGAGAAAATTAATAGGGCAAGTTGGCTTTTAGGAATGATTTTGAAAAATGCTTATCATGGGGTAGTAGTACATTATTCTCAGTGGGCTAGGTGAGTCTTATTAGAATCACTTATGCAAACACATGCATTCTCCACCCCACCCCTCCCCTTCCCACACCTTTTGATACGCTGAGGAAGGGTATGAGGCATGATTATGGCCAAAAGCATCCCAGGTGAGTCTGATCTTAACCCTAACTCATTTGTTCCCAAGCTTTGCTGCATGTTGCAATCACCTGGGGAGCTTTAAAAACAATCCTGATGCCCAAGTCATGCCCAATGCCAGTAAATCAGAACATCTAGAGGTGGAAGCTAGGCAGTTTATAAAGCTCCTCAGGTGATCCCAGTGTGCAGCCAAGCTTGGGAACCACTGCCTGGTTGGAGTGGAGGAGGAGAAGAACTGCTTCTGACTGGTGGTGGGACCTTGGGCAAGTCAGCTTTAAGCCTTGGTTCCCTTATCTGTAAAATAGGTTATTGAATTAAATGTCATCTAAGGTTCAGTGGTCCTTTTCAGCATATAACGTGGAATTTTGTGATTTTAAAATCAGTTTGAAGATGAAACTGTTTGAAGCACTATAGAAGTATCCATCTTTGATGCTAACAGTGTGATAGGCCTTTTTACAAGTGCCAGTATTCTATAGACCTAGTTATAAAATTCAGATTTGCCTTCCCTAAATTACTTTGAGCTTCATTTTAGACACTGAGGGCAAAGAGAAGCATCTAACTTAACCAAGAGAACCCCTTTGTTGCCTAGTGCACAGTCTCTGTGAGTAGCTCAGTAACTTGAAGAGGGTCTGAGGACTTATACCTGGTTCATTAATATTTCATTTAAGCTAATTTGGAAATACCTGTCATTAATATTATACTGTGTAGTATTAAGCTGCTTATAATAAGCACTTAAATAAGCGCTGCTTATTTCAGGATATCTAGACTTATCATCAGTTTTGTGGGTACTTATATTTGTTATTGAATTTTCTGATAATTATGTGTAAGTGATTTAAAATGATTTTATTTAATTTAGAATACTTTCATTATTTACTTTTAGAGAAGTAATGGAAAATGGGTGGGTAGGTGCATAGTGAACTAAATCAACTGGAATCTAGGGCCTAACAACTTTAAAAAAAACCAAAAACTGGACGGCTTAAATTTAAGCATGTGTACAAATAGATGTACAGGATGAAACGTTCTTTGGGTAGAAGGGCAAATGACAGGGGAAACGTGTAATAATTTCTGTATTATAATAATCAACCAAAACGTGTTTTCTGACAGCATATTACCTAGCATTTTGGTTCCCCTATTTTTGCTAAAAGCTAAAGAACTAAAACAAGGCAGAAAGTGCCCTTATGGTGCCCATTCTGAATTAGAGGATTTCAGGGCCACTGGGCAGCTGGGAAGGTCTTCCCTCCCCCCACCCCTGCCCTTTTAAAAAATATCTTCAGGCCTAACATGATAAATATCAATTGTTAAAATTTTTTTTTTCCCTCCACAGTGTGACCTTAGCAATATATTACCACATAAAGAACAGGTGAGCTCTTTTAAAACCTGTGTTGTCATTCCAGCTAATGAATTTGCAAGATACTAAGTTTAGTGTTAGGTAATAAGTATAGACATTATTAGAGTAAGCTGTAGAGTGCTTTTTTTTACAATATTGAAGTGAATCATTTGTTTTTGGTCTTAGGACTCTTAACACTTACATTATTGAGTATTTGTGTGGGTTATATTGATATTTATTGTACTAGAAATTAAAATTGAGAATTTAAAAATTAAATCCATTGTATGTTAAAACAGGATTTTCATGGTACTGTTGAAATTTGAGCTAGATAATTCTTTGTTGTGGGGGGCTGTCCTGTGCATTGTAGGATATTTAGCAGCATCCCTGGCCTCTACTCGCTAGATGCCAGCAGCACCCTCTCCTCTCCTCTGCATTGTGACAACCAAAAATTTCTCCAGCCATGGCCAGATGTCGCCAGGGGACAAAATCACTGCTAATTGGGAACCACAGTGTTAACATAAATAATATTTTTTTTATGAAAATAACTATTTTCCACAATGAAAAAGTTGAGTGAAAAGTGTGTCATTGATTTACGTCTTTGCAAATCTCTTTAATGTTTGGCTTAATAGAAGACAGCTAATTCTCATATCTACTCTGTCTTCAGTCATTTGCGATCACTTCAATCATTACAGTCATTTGTTTTGAAGAAACAATATGAAGAAGCCCCAACCTCATGTAGATATATAGTTGAAAAAAGGTGTATTTTTAAAGCCTTGAAATAATTGTGGATATTCTTTGATACTATACCAGAGAATATTTCTTAAATTAGTTACAGTGGTATTTTAAATCATATCGATGAACTTGTAGTAGGCACTGTTACATTAATACCTATTGATCTGTCTTGCATGTTGAATGGATCTTTTACCAGTAGGTGGTTTTATAATATTATGAATTAATCATTTGGAAAGTATTGGTTGACATTTCTTTTATACAGTGTCAAAAATTGAATTGTTTTAGTCTCACCACCAATCTTATTAGAAAAGTCTATATAAGTATTGAGAAGCTGTCAAGCTTGCAACGGAAGGTACACGTTTTCCCAGTTCCTGATTTTTAACTTGAATTTTATCATTGGCAACAAATAACTTATTTTCCTTGAAGTGACAGGCTCACTATTCATTTTTGAGAGAATGACAGTCAGTTGTACTATCAAATAAAGATGGTATTCTGTGAAAAAAGGGGCTTGTTCAGCTCACAACTAAGTCACAAATGCTTTTCCTTAACACAACCATATTTCAGTATGCAGATGTGCTTAATGTATACTCTCCATATTTTCTGAATATTCATTCAGATGTTACAAAGAAGGATCAAAGTTTAATAACACTGTTAATTTTTACTGCTTTGTCAAGGATGTTCTTAAGAATTTTCTTTTTTTTAAATTTATTTATTTAGTGTGTGTGTGTGTGTGTGTGTGTGTGTGTGTGTGTGGAAGATCATCTGAGCTAACATCCATGCCAATCCTCCTCTTTTTGCTGAGCAAGACTGGCCCTGAGCTAACATCCATGCACATCTTCCTCCACTGTATATGGGACGCCACCACAGCATGGCCCAACAAGCGGTGTGTCGGTGTGCGCCAGGGATCCGAACCCGGGCCGCCAGGGAGCGCGAGCACTTAACTGCTACGCCACGGGGCTGGCCCCAAGCAGATTTTTTTTTCAACTGCAAGTGGCAGTAAAGAACGGAATGACTACCAGTGCAGTTTGGTATCACTGCCCTGATTTGTGCTCAGAAACCAGTAGTTTTACCCACTTTTGCTTTTAAGCAATCATTGCAAATGTCAAACCGTGCAAGAGGTAATATCTTAATATGCCTATCAAAACAGTTTCAACCTCATGGGCCTCCTGAAAAAGGTCTAGGGGAACCCCAGAGGCCTGCAGACCACACTTGGAGAACTGCTGTTGAAATGAGCACATTTCAACAGTGTGGTGAACTTTTAAATGAAAAGACTGGTCTCTTTTAAATAAAAAGACAATTAAGTTTTTAACTCAAACTATTTAAAAGAGAAAAAAAAATAAATGATAAAAATATAATATATTCTTATATATTATATAAGAAACTAAAGAGAGAAAAAACAGGGAAAAAACATGAATCTCTCTCACGTTCATTAATTTTCTAAAGACTCTTGCCCACCACTGCTGCTTTATAAAATGTTTTCGTGTGTTCCACTGTGAGGTTAGAGGGGTGGAAATACATTTGGTTTACTTGCATTACCTGTTAGGGTGGGTTAGTGCCTATAAAGGCAACTCTGGCTGGTCATTGTGGAAATAGTTCACAGAATTTGATGTGCTAAGTAAAAAGAGGTCAGGAAACTCACTCACAGAATCCAGGAGAAGAGTTTGTAAAACTGCTTTGTTGAAGGTTAAGCTTTTCCCTCTCCCCTCTCTACTCCCAGCAGATATTTTGCTAAGATATTAACAATTCCTGAATTAGTTTTTTAAATGTACATCCTTATTTTATAGAGATGCAAATCGATCCTTGGATATTTTTGATGAGAGATCACATCCACTCACAGTAAGTGTCACTTTTATTGAAGCTGTATTTTTCTCTCTTACAGTCATGTTTATTTCATGCTGATTTGCTTTGAAATTAATTACTAGAAGAAAATTATTCCCTCTAGCTTGAAGTCAAAATCATCTTTCTTTAAGTCTTGTTCCCCACCCCATGTTGTATCTAATCATTTTACAAAAGGAATGTTGTATAAGGGATATGACAGAGTAAGAACTGAATTGCAACTTTGTATAATTAGTGAACTAAGGTGAGTAAATGTACCCAAATAATAGAAAATGTATCTTTTTAAATAGCATCAAACAATATAAATATTTGTAAATAAACCTAACAAATATGTTAAGATCTCTATGAAGAAAATTAGAAAACTATTTAAATTTTAAGTCAGTTAAAATGACAAAAATTTTATATTTTATTTTATTTTATTTTATTTTGTGAGCAAGATCAGCCCTGAGCTAACATCCATGCTAATTCTCCTCTTTTTGCTGAAGAAGACCGGCTCTGAGCTAACATCTATTGCCAATCCTCCGCCTTTTTTTCCCCAAAGCCCCAGTAGATAGTTGTATGTCATAGTTGCACATCCTTCTAGTTGCTGTATGTGGGACGTGGCCTCAGCATGGCCAGAGAAGCAGTGCGTCGGTGCGTGCCCGGGACCCGAACCCAGGCCGCCAGTAGTGGAGCACACACACTTAACCGCTAAGCCACGGGGCCAGCCCAAAAATGACAAAAATTTTAAAATTCACCTCCTCAGATGCTCTGCAGCCACGTGTGGCTGGTGACTACTGTGTAAAATAGCACAGCCTTAGAGCCTGGTGATTACAAGAAACTGAAAATGTTTTTTCAAAGGTGTTTGCAGAGAAGTGTGATATATGGTGATCAACAAGACTTTTGAGCCTAAAAATAGTTTACATTTAGATAGAATTCTGTGGAGATAAGGTGGAAAGGAATACACACAGTCATGCACTGCATAATGATGTTTTGGTCAACGATGGACTGCATATAGGACCATGGTGCTGTAAGATTAGCACCATATAGCCTAGGTGTGTAGTAAGCTGTACCATCTAGCTTTGTGTAAGTGCACTCTGTCATGTCCGCACAATGATGCAATCGCCTAACAATGCATTTCTCAGAATGTGTCTCTGTCAAGCCACGCATGACTGTATAAATTTTCTGAGATTGTACCTGTATTTTTCTTTAGTGAACGGTGCTGAATATTGAATCACTGTGGTATTTTAAGATCTCATTGTTTATATATAAAAGATTAAAAGACATGTCACCCAGTCAAAATTATTTTAAGGAGCACGGGGGCAAAAGTAAAAGACTGCTGTTGTAAGAGTACTTAAGTATTTTTCTTCAGTGAACACTTTTTTTCATTTTTTCTTCCAGCGAGAAAAGATTCCAGAGGAGTACTTCGAGCATGATCCTGAACACAAATTTATTTACAGATTTGTTCGTACTCTTTTTAGTGCCGCACAGCTAACAGCTGAATGTGCAATAGTAACTTTGGTAAGATATTTCTTCTTTCATCAAGCCTCTTTAGAAATTTCTGTCTTGTACACAGGGTATGGTTCTGTTTTTCAAATAAAAGTAGGTTCCTGAAATGATCATCAGAACTTGATTAAGAAACCTATCAAAGGAAAGTAAAATACATTCGAGCTTAATAATCATTATGATTTAAAATGTTACCGTTGCTTTTCTCATCACAAAACAATTGCTATTAAAGGCAGCAGGAGAGATTTCTGGTTTCTCCCTCCACGCCTAAGGACACACATGCACACACAGTGCACAGGTACACACACACCAGGTGTGCTGGTAGGTGAGAGGGAGGCAATAACAGAACCATCTGGTCCACAGGCAGAGGCTGATTCCATGCAGGTCTAAGCTGAGTCCCAGGCTATATTCTCCAGCAATTCTGAGATGTGTCCTGACTGAGCACTACTGCCGTAAGTGCTCTCTTCCTTGGATGATGGATGTTCTCCATCCCGGCTGTATTCTTGTGCCTGCCTGTGCAGTTGCTCAGGATTAGAGTGCCAATAGGACTTGGAAAGGCTTTGCTAGTTAGCCTGCTAAGCTACAGCTGTGTAACGATCTTTGTGTCATCCATACAGAATTCCCATGGTAAGATTTTATCATTTTGAATAAGTCCTATTCTAGTGAGTGGTGGTTGGGATTGTTTTACTCCTCCCTACAGCAAGCCTATAGGAGACAGTCAGCTGCACGGGGAGGGAGAGAATACTTAGATCAGTGCCTACTCCTTTAGTATCCAGTTAGAATTTAGGAGAGGAGGCTTGTGCTTTTGAATAGAGCGTGTAGAATAAAAAGTGGATAGAAGATAGATCTGTAAGGACTGTCAGCACTTCAGGGATAAGTCCCAGAGGAGTGGCTACAGTGGAAGGAAAACCAGGAGAAGGTAGTAAAGGGACACCAAGATGAGAGAGGTTCAAGGAAAGTGTGGTCAAAATGCTAAATGCTGCCAAGAAGTTGCACATTCCACAAATACCCACTGGCTACCTCCTCTGTGTCACATTCTAGGTGCTGGGGAGAGAGGATAAAACTAAAACAAGTTGAATAAAGCTCTTGCCTTTATGCAGCTCACATTCTAGTGAGGAAGACATAAGTATTTTTTTAAATGAGGGTTTTTATTCTTTTATTTTTTGTGTGTGTGAGGAAGATCAGCCCTGAGCTAACATCCATGCTAATCCTCCTCTTTTTGCTGAGGAAGGCCGGCTCTGAGCTAACATCTATTGTCAATCCTCCTTTTTTTTTTTCCCCCCCAAAGCCCCAGTAGATAGTTGTATGTCATAGTTGCACATCCTTCTAGTTGCTGTATGTGGGACGCGGCCTCAGCATGGCCGGAGAAGCGGTGCGTCGGTGCGCACCCGGGATCCGAACCCGGGCTGCCAGTAGCGGAGCGCGCGCACTTAACCGCTAAGCCACGGGGCCAGCCGTAAATGAGTGTTTTTAAAAAGATGAGTATTTCAGGTAGTAGTAAATACCAAGAAGATGAAGCAGGGTGAAGGGATAAAGTGATTAGAGGGGCTTTCTATTTTAGAGACAATGATCAGGAAGAGCCTCCTCCAGGGGCTCCCATTTGAACCGGGACCTGACTGAACTGCTGAGGATGAGGAGCTCTGGCATTACAGGCAGAGAGGACAAGTGCGAGACTCTAAGATGGGAACATGTTTTGTGTGTTGAAGGAACAGTAAAGTGGTCAGTGTGGTCAGGGTGAGGAATGAGGGAAACGGCATCGGTAAGGTCAAAGAAGGGCAATGCCCTATGTTATAGGCCCTGCTAGGTTGCAGGCCAGGGAAGATGTTAAATTTTTATTCGTTTAATAGAAAATGTTTGGCAGATCTTGAGCAGAGAGTGAAGTGCTCTTAATTTAAGAGGCTACCCCAGCTGTCTTGGGGAGAGTAGACTGTAGTTGGGAGTCAGGGTGGAGGCTGAGAAGTCAGGAGGCAGTGGCTGATACATGTGAGAAGTGACAATAGAAGAGGAAGCACTCAGATGACCAGTGAAGGCAGCGAGGACAAGAATTGCAAACAGATCAGAGCAGGCTAACTCCAGTGGAGTTATTTAGCCTCAGCAACTGCAGGCATGGCAGTGCCCTTTATGTTGTTAGGGAAGGCTGGGGGTGGAGAGTGGTGATGGAAAGCTCTGGTTTGCATGTGTGAAGGCACCCATGACCTTGGCAAGAGTAGTTTCAGTGAGTGAGAGTGGCAGAAGGCAGACTAAAGTGGGCTGTGGAGAGGATGGGAGGTGAGAAGCCAGCAGCAGGGCATTTACTGTGAGCAGAATGAGAGGAAGCACTCTAGGGGTTGTGGGGGTGGGAGGGGACATATTGGGGAGCATCTCTGGCAAGAGGGAGACATTCTTCAAAAAGAGAGAAGCGTGGGAACAGTGTTCTGCAGAAGTGGGATGGGATCGACGTCACTAATATAAGATTCAGCTTCAGTGAGAAGAAAGAGAAATCTCAGTTCCCCTGACACAGGGCAAGTGGTGTAAATGCATGAGTGTCAGCACATGACAAGTTTGCCAGGAAAGGGGACAGGAGGCTGAGAGGTTGCCAGTATTGTATAAGTGCTTCCAATTATTCCCATAAAGTGGAGAGTTCAACCTTGTAGGGAGGCTCATTCTTAGGATACCTGAGAGCACTGAGTTTTGGGGAGTGGGAGCAGCATTTCACGAATAGCATATAATGTTCTGTAACCATTTGCTTTTGAAAACACAGTTGAGTTTGGAGAACACTGGCAAATCTGAGCTGTCAATCTGATAACCTTCAGACAATAAACATACTCTTTAAAATTGTACTTTTTTCTTTTTGTCAAATGGCACTTATACTCTTCTGCAAAGCGCACTTTGAGGTAACAACGAATCACAGCTCACCTCTATAATCTTTACTCAGCTGTTCACTTTTCCCGGTTCTTTGTACACTAGACATTTGATACGTGTAAAAGAAATCATGAAACCTCACAAATGGCCCGGCAGTTTAGAGCAGTCCTAGGGAGGCTGAGACCTGCAGCTCTGTTACCACGTTCAAACCAGCACAATTGGCTAAGCTGCAGATTACGTAAGACAGAAAGGGATGATCATGAAGTGATCATGGAGATGTGACAAACAGGGCATGTGGGAAGGACTGTCCTGTGTGTGCGTGTGTGTCCCTTAAAAAGGCGCTAAATACGGGAGGGCTGGACAGTTGTGAAGACTGGCCTCAAGTGCACCTGCTTGCACTGCCTGTCTTGCTGCGCCACCCAGCAGCCACTGGGAGGCTCCCCTGACCACCGGTTTTTATCTTCAGCTGGCGCCACAAAAGGACTAGTTACCGTGAAAAGGAGAAGATAAAAATGTGCTCAGCACTACTAGGGTTTTACATCTTCCAATCTTAGGTAAAATCATCACATAACTACCAGCCAGGGATGGTTCCTTGCACGCGGTAGGCACTCAACGTGTTTGTTAACAACTTGAATCTACACTGGGCTGTGTTGCCTTTTGCTTGTGGGAAGGCAGTAACTCAGTGTGTGTCTGCAGGCTGCCCTTTGCTAAGATGGCCATTCATTCCTGTGACCAAAATTGGGCTAGACATTCACATGGGCAGAGTAAGCAACAAGAATTTGGCTTATGACTGTGACCTAGCCTCTGGCTTTGGATGGCCAAGCAAAGTCTCTGTAGAACCTAAGAATAAAAAAACCCTGTCATTCCTAACAGTTCTTATCATAGCATTTAAACTGAACTAAAATCAAAGACCAGTGCTCTACTTTTGCAGGTTTACTTAGAAAGGCTTTTAACTTATGCTGAGATCGACATTTGTCCCACTAACTGGAAAAGAATTGTTTTGGGAGCCATTCTTCTTGCCTCCAAGGTTTGGGACGATCAGGCTGTATGGAATGTGGACTACTGCCAGATCCTCAAGGACATTACAGTTGAGGACATGTGAGTCTGTAAGGTTTTGGTGAACTTTCTAACCATTTTCCAATACCGCATTTGCTCCCATAAAGTTGACGTTTTAAGAAATATTTTTAAAGGTTACATTGTGCAGAGAACTGAAATAGATGTAAAATTACATACTCCTTTCTATCCAGCTGTGGTGTAACAATTTATATTTCCCATCATTAATTGGTAGGTCTTGATGTGTTGTTGTAATAATTGCTTGATAAATTGAAATGTATTTTTCTGGTGGTTTTTGGCAAACATTTTATAAGCTCACTACCAGAACAACACAATACAGTAAATATCTTCATGGCTTTCTTAAAGCTGTCTATCAGTTTCAGTCCATTTTTAAGGGGCACACGTCTGGCCTTTGAAATAAGTGACCACTGTTAAGGTTGTAGGGCCTGTAGACTATTGAGAAGGTTATAGCTTCAATCTGAGTCACACATTGTATATTTGCTTTTGCTGGTCTTTCCCTCCTTTTTATCTCAAGTTTTGTTGTTAGAGAAATGATGATACAAAAGTACCACACAGAAAGGTTTCAGGCCCCTGTGCTCCTGTCTCCTCCCCTACTAGGAGTATTGCACTTGTTTAAAAATAGGTCTGATGAGTTAGGAAGCTCCTGCCTCTTAGGCAGTCTGAGAAGCATGGCTGGGCATCACCAGTGCCCCTTGCATTCGAGAGTTTCCCGGGGCGCTCAGCAACCGCAGCAGCACTTTGTGGGGCCGTAGGTCAGCTGTGAGGGTGCTCCTCACAGAGGGCGTGCTGACACGGGAGTGAAACACGACGTCTCCTGAGGGCTTTCATTCTGGCCACCCTGGCTACTGCGAACGGCCCTGAGGGCAGTAGGCAGCATGAGCCAAAGAGGTGTTTCCAGCAGAATCTCAAAGTCCCCACTTAATGGTGAAAATGTCTTTGTGGGTGACATTTAGGAAAATACTGAACAGCACAGGAGGATCAAGATCATGGCAGGCAGTGTAAGAGTTTGTTTTGTTTCCTCTGACCATTACGATTGTCGACGCAAATAATCCATAATCAATCTGTAAGTCAAAATTGGGGTGAGTTTATTATGAGCCAGATCTGAGGACTAGCCTGGGGCCTGCCTTCCCCCAGGAAGGAAGGACGTGGAAGAACTGGGGTGCACAGAGTGGTTATATACTGTCTTGGAACAAAGAGCATACATCACTTGTGATAGGAATATCCCTTTTACAATAGCCACGAGATTGCTGGCACAGCAGGTAGATGGTCACAAGGTGAGCACAGCAGGTCAGTAATTAATCCTTAGTTTAGGGAGAGATGCTTATTCTAAAGGAAATCCTGATATGGGGGAAGATACGTCCCTATCTTTAGGGGCATGATTCTTGTCTTTGGGACATGGTAAATGTTTAAAGCAGATGTACAATGCATGCTCAGCAGGCCACATCAGGCCCTTAGACAAACAGAGTCAGGCCAAAGTAGCTTTAACCCAAATGGCTTCCTCATATTCTCCAGTATATCCTACTGCTTGTCATTTATTTGTCACTGTAGATAAGACTGTTGTTCAGAGTCCCCAGAGTCCCTATTTACAACTGCAGTGAGGGTCCTTGTGACTAAGAGGAGGGACCAGTGATGGTGGGTAGCTGTCAAAGTGGCTTTTGGTGAAAATGCCCACTTCGATAATGTGTAAACTGAGTGGTCATGGTGATATTGCTGGTAGCATCTTAGCAAGCAGTCTGATGGCAAATAACGAATTTGAAATGAATGGAAGTACTTTTGGAAGTTGCAGAAGCTAAAGTGACTTTGATCACCACTGTCATCAGTCTTCAAACTGGTCCCTTGAAGGAAAGAAAATCTGTCATCGTGAACACCAGCCCTGCCATGATGGCAGCTGAAATTTTCTCAAAACCTGCCACTGTGCTGACTGGGGCTCTGGTTCTAGTCATAACATGGGAAATGTGTGGGTTTTCCTGGCTGTGAGCTCCAGGAGCAGTGGTGCAGTGTCCAGCTGCAGGAAGACTGTTGGAGACAGTGCTTCGTGTGTGTGAACAGAGAAACACCAGGGGCTGCTCTTGTTTTGACCTCTAGAAATTGGAAAGCCTTACAGTAAAGTGTTTCATATACATTTGTTTTGTCCCCTGCTGTTGACTACAATTTGTAATGGTCTCATTTTGAGTCTAAATTGAAAAATTGGTGTCTATCAGGTTTTTCTTAAAACTTCCCAATATCTGTGTGTCTTGTTAGAATATATTTCCCTCCAAAAAAGTTAAACTGAGCACCTGCTACTCAGAAAATTTCCTGTGCCTGTAAATGGTATGCTATTCAGCCATCCAGCCATTTAAACAACAAAAACCCCCGAAGATGCATATTCTGTAGGCATAAGGCTTTTCTTCAATGATTAAACCTCTATTAATAGACATGTTAATCCTATGAAGTACTGTATTTCTACACAATTAAAATGTATTAGTGGAGGAAATATAAAAAGGATAGTGAAGTGCATTTACTTCTGTAGTAAATTAAGTCCTGATTAGCTGATTATCAAAACATTATCTGATTTACATTTCTATAGACTTATGGCCCTGTGAACACAAAATTAATTATGGAAGTAGGTTCACTTGGGTTTCAAGTTCAACAAATGAGAAAACCTCATCTCTGCTCGTATTCTGACTGCTATCCATACAGGAGCGCATCAAGCCTATGTTGACCTATCCAGTGGTCAATGTTATTATTAATCTTTTAAAACCAAGAAACCAAATACATTATAAGCCTCGTGTTTGTTCAGGTATTTATCATTTTTATATAATTAACTGTCTAAATGGATTACTGTGAAAGGGTAAGATTTACTCTAATTTTATATTTATTAAACATTTGGCAAGCGATGGCTATATGGTCATGTGGCAAAAGACTGCTCCCAGCATTTTCCTCCTCCACTTCATTGAACAGGCCCCTGCAGGTGTGTTCACATTCTGTTGTGGCAGGAGTGGTGGAGGCCAAGCCTCTAGGGGTCGCATCCCCCACATGGGAGAGACACTGTCTGAGTGAGTCCAGTGCTCTATGAGACAGAGGTTGTATCATAAAGTGGGTTTAGTCGAGCCAAGACATCGATCTTTAATCTTTCTGCCTTCCAGAGTTGAAAAAGTGCATCTTGTCATAATGACAGTTGCTCACCCTAGTAAGATTAAGGTGAGCAGAAACCTGCGTTATGCCCTTTGACATAGCCCCATGCACTGGGGCGGGGGAGGGGGTTCCCTTGCCCATCAAATGTAGCTTATTTATTTATTTGAGATGAAGCCTTGTTGCCTCCCGCCTTTCCCCTCAGAGGTAATAGCGGTGGCTCTCCATGGATCCATTTGTTGCCGTGGTGACGCGCCTCCTCCTTTTGTTGGCGCGTCTCCACTTCAATAAGCCCCTTCCTGCTATCGGCCTGGTGAAAATGTCTGTAGGTTCTTCAGAGCTCATCAACAGCAGACATCGTGTCTTTCATCTGACCACTGTAGTGGGGCCTTGTGAGTGAGCATGGTGCGTGAATCGCCAGCTGCACTAATGGAGCTCTGAAGAGTGAGTCCCCCAGTTGGCAGCACGAGTGTGTGAGAAGGCTGCAATCTCTTCCCCTTGTCCCAGCTCAGAGTGCTGGGGTGCAGAAAGGACCACAAATAGCTGCACCTTATTTGAATGTTAGTGTATTACTCCAGCTGGGTAGCCTTTATTCATTTCAAAACAGAATTTAGAGCCCTCCTAGTAGCTCAGAATATTTTTGAAGATAGCCCAGTTGACTAAAATTGTCCTGTGTTGGTTTTGTTGTCTCCTCTCCCAGGAATGAGATGGAAAGGCATTTTTTGGAGCTACTTCAGTTTAATATTAATGTTCCTACCAGTGTTTATGCCAAATACTACTTTGACCTTCGCTCCTTAGCAGATGAAAACAACCTGAATTTTCTGTTTGCTCCTCTGAGCACAGAAAGAGCACGGAACCTGGAGGTAAGGCAATGAAATCACTGAGCACGGTTTTCTGTCAGCCACCAAAGCCAACGTCAGTGGCTAAGTCATATTAAGCAGTGATTAGGAAAATGGAAAATTTTTAAATTAACACATTGAGGAGTTTATTAACCCTTTGGCATCATATTTCCTGTCTTTTATGGCTTATACACAGATCCCACATTAAAAAAAATTATAGATATTATCTCTTCTGTGATCATAATTCACAATATCTTAAATCAAATTTAATCTGTTCTTAATGGTTTTCCATTTGAACCTCTACCCTTCCTGATAACCATACATGAATAATTTCTTAGAATTATATCCCTAATTATATCTACATACAATCTATTTACCATTATTAACTGTCTTGTACTCAGTTTGCAAATTCATGTCCGTGTTTTCCATATATATCAGTGTTCAGTCCCATGAGTTTATTAGACAAAGCATTAGTGGCTAACCGGAGAGACCTATACTTAGAATGTATAATGTGTGTTTCAAATACTGGATGTAGAAAGCACATGGCTTTTTAGTGGAAATGGTAACGTACATTGGACAAAGTAATATTTATGGCTGATGACTTTTGGTGAGTATGCAACAAACTTATTCACAACTGAGGTGGACACATTTAAAATTGACACTTTCTGTGGCATCTTGGTGATGCTTTAGAATAAGACATTTTTCTCCTGTAATGTGCAAGTGAAATAGCACCTTTTGGTGCTGCAGTCATAGACTTCTGCTACCTTTTAATCAAGTCCAGCATAAGCCTACCTCGTTAAAATTTGCTCAGAGTTTATAACAACTAATGAAGATTGGATAGAATTTGAATAGCTGAGCAAACACTGATTTTGCCCAAGTGTATGTTCATGAAGGAACCAGGTGTACAGGTAACAGATGATATTGCTGTTAAGAGCCTGTCACGATACCTTTGACATCTTTGGGAACTCAATTTTTTTTGTTGTTGTTGTTGTGAGGAAGATCAGCCCTGTGCTAACATCTGCCAATCATCCTCTTTTTTTGCTGAGGAGGACTGGCCCTGGGCTAACATCTGTGCCCATCTGCCTCCACTTTAAAAATTTTTTTTTTAATTAATTTATTTATTTTTCCCCCAAAGCCCCAGTAGAGAGTTGTGTGTCATAGTTGCACATCCTTCTAGTTGCTGTATGTGGGACACGGCCTCAGCATGGCCAGGGAAGTGGTGCGTTGCTGCGCACCCGGGATCCGAACCTGGGCCACCAGCAGCAGAGCGTGTGCACTTAACTGCTAAGCCACGGGGCCGGCCCTCATCTTCCTCCACTTCATATGGGACGCGCCACAGCATGGCTTGCCAAGCGGTGCGTCAGTGCTTGCCTGGGATCTGAACCAGTGAACCCCGGGCCGCCGCAGTGGAGCACGTGCATTTAACTGCTTGCGCCACCGGGCTGGCCTAGGGAACTCAATTTTTAAATAACTCTGGAAATCTCATCATAGCCCTTAAAGGATCTTACCTTAGTGAGTTGGCAGGAAGTAGCATCCCCAGAACCTGGCAATACAGACCTCAGCTATGCAAAGTAGCAGTAACCATGAACTATCTAAAGGAGTGTGGATGTGTGGCTTATTGGTGATGGTTTTTTGTTAAGGTTAGAACCCTTTTTAACTGTCCCTGTATTCTCTTTGACTGACTTTCCTAGGCCATTTCCAGATTGTGTGAAGACAAATACAAAGACTTGTGTAGAGCTGCTATGAGAAGGTCTTTCAGCGCTGATAATTTTGTTGGTATTCAGCGCTCTAATGCCGTCCTCTCTTAAGGGAGGAACTAGAGTTTGTAACATCATGAACCCCTCATCTACAAGGACTGGAGAAATATCATCTCTCCTGCGCAAAAACCAGCAAAGTTAGTATCTTCACCTAAAAGAAAGACATCAAATTCAAGACTTGTGGACGGCAAGGATTACGCTCATAGGAAAGAATGGGACCGTGTCAGTGCAACACACTCTTCTGTCCTTTTTAATGTAAACAGTTACAAAAACCACTCCAAAGCAAAAGCTACCAGCCCACACACAGACATGTGCTTACTGTGTAGGCTGATGGCTGTGAACCAGGTGAGGTTTTTTAATTAATAGTTTAAATTTTTAGACTTTAAAGACACTAACTATATAACTTTTATGTTTTTCTATTTTTCTTGCCCCCCCCCCCATATTGCTGCATATTCCTTTTAGAATCAATGCAGTATTACCATTGAAACATGGGACTCCTAACACCTCGTAAAGCCACTTAGGAACAGACGGGATGGCCTTGTTAGGTATTGAAGGTTCTTCCTCCCTACTGTGTCGTTGAAGCTGCTAGTCATTATTGGCAATCAATTTAAACCAAAAGCTGCTGAATAACACTTGTCAAATTCTTTGCAAGCACTACTTATTAGCATTTTAGCATGTTTGGGATCATAAACAGAGAAAGTATCAGTTATTATCTACTTCTATTGGGGCCATGCTGCATTTCTTGTGAACTATAATGGTGCTTCTCATTTTCTGATGATTTTCCTCTTTGTTAAATAAATATATTAAAAGATCTTTTCATAATTCCAACCAACATGGTGGTCCAGTGATAACAAGCAGGTAGTGAAATAGAAGATGTCCCAAAAGTCTGAGTGCAATTTTAAGCTTTACTATAGCGTGCTTGGGCCCTCCAGCGCACTGCTGCAGAGGTATAAATGCTACAGACTTACAAAACATCATATGAAAGTTTAATTGAATTTCTTTTCAACTTAGTTTTGTAAATTTTAAATATTAAGCTTTTAAGTTTTTGTTTCAGTCTCTTGAAGTTGGCAAACATTGCCTGAAACAAAATTAAAATTCAAGGTTTAATATTTAAAATGTACAAAACCAAATAGGTTTAAAAGAAATTCAATTAAACTTTCAAATGATGTTTCGTAAGTTTGTAGCATTTATACCTCTGCAAGTATCAAAGCTCAAAACTGCACTAAGACTGTAGAGATACCTAGTGTCTTCATGTGCCCTCCTCTTTTAAACAGGGCTTGTGCTGTTTTCCTGCTTTGATCACCTAAATTTCTTCTTTCTAGATTTGGGAAAGGAAGATTATGAAGAGCACATGTAATAAGTTGGACAGAACTGGACCTTAATAGTAGTGATATGAAAGTAGATGATGGGAAACGGCTTTTCCATTTTCCATGTTAACCTGGCTGTAGCTGTCCCATCTCAAGTCCTGCTATTTAAGAGGAAACTTACAAACCATAGGAACCCTTACCTCAGGCTTTAAAGGGCAGGGAGTGAAGTAATCAATCTTTTAGGAGATTGGTAAAATGTCACCTAAACTTGAAATACTGAAAAAAGATTAGTGTTCTCAACCTGTGAAATCTTTCTCCTACCTTCTCAAATGTAATCCTAGGAACTGCCTATAAACAAAGCACTTCTGGGCCAGGAACACCCTCTCTCAATATAGCAAGGCTTCACATTATATTGAGTTCTGCAGGTTCCATCATTTTTAAAGGACAGAGAGATAAATGGTAAATAATGGAATATAAAATACTACAATCTACCACCTCAAAAACATTGTTTATGGAGTTTGGAGCTTGGAGATTCAAGTATTGATTGCAGTTTTATTTTGAAAAGAAGGCTACAACTTAATGTGGGTTTTCCTTCTCATGTTTATATTAAAAGCTAATAAACTCTATTTTAATTAAAATATGGCTAGCGTGTTTGTAACATTTGTCTCTATTCACATAGCATTACATCTCTGCCTAACTTAAATGTTTTCAGTCAGCTCTGCTAGTGGTGTCTTAAAGCATTCCAGACTGACCATTCATAGGTTGGTTTGACCCCTGCTGCTAGTTGTGATGGTCATTTATTTCTTTGGGTATGCTCTTTTCAACCTGAAGATAATTTATTACACTTAATCACTGGCCACAGTAGTCAGTGGCTTGGTGCATCAGATGGCATCTTTGAATAGTTCATTATTGTGTCAAGACAGAAAAGCACTTTGGAAGGTAAAAGACACCAGAGAGAAAGGAATGACAGGAATACTATAGACTCAGAATGTGTCACCTGAGGATCTCCGGCAGTCAGGAAAGAAAACGGAACAGCAACTAGGGTTGTTGCTGTAAAGAGGGTGACTTTAAACAAGCCACATAATTTGAGTTTAAAATGCTATTTTCAGACTTACATTTCAGTTAGAAATATACTAAATCTCTAAGGTTTCTTTAAAACTAAGACCCTAGCCACATGCTTGAGTAATGCTCAGTAAATCCTGACAGTACTGCTGTATTTCAGCCACTTCTTTCACTAATTGAGGTCAGCTCTTTAATGATCACTTTTTTTGATAAATTGCTGATTAGGATAAATGATCTGATTTTAGTTTAGAAGAAGAAACAATCACAAATCACTGTTGATAGTTTGTACCCTAATCTGCCAGTTACTAAGCAGCATGCTGACATGGGGGGGTGTCACATGTTGAAGTTTGGGGGAGGGACATGGGACATGACTGGTTTCAAGAACAAGTTGGTGGAATAAGTAGAATCACTAAAAATGGCTTTAATTCTAGGAGGCAGTACAGCCATCTTGATATTTGGGAAGTTGAGTCACTGTAGGGTAAGATTATAAACATGGGAAGCAAGTTCTCTGACAAATGTTAAGGGGCCTGGAAACTGGTTACCAGTAGGGTGGTAAGCATGGCAGTTGTCTGGGGGTTACACCTGGGAAGGGCTTGCTCCCTATAGTTATACTATAAAAGACTATCTGCCTCGACTCAGATTTATCTTCATTGTGAGTCCTTCCTCTATTGGAATACTGACCTCAATGAAATTTTTACTCTGGTATGTTGTGAACTGAACTTCTAAGTTTTCATCGCAAGGAAAAGACAAAGGTCTGAAATATTTGAACCAAATGAAACAACTGCAATTTTTGTAGGTCAAAAATGGTTGCTGTCAGCAGTTTCCTATGGCTCATCCTAAGACGACAGCTTAGGGCCCAACATTTCTGGTTAAAGAGAAATTTCCTCCATGCTGTATCAAGTTCCATCATGGCCCTTTCTCTCACCTTTACTTGTCGTGTAGCCCGTATGCCCATACATTATTGAAACTCAACAGCACTGAATCAAGGTTCATTTATTTCTTGGTTTAGTTTTCAAACTATGTCTATAAATACACTATTCCTTGATTTAAAAAAAAATGCTCATGCCAATATCTACTTTTCAATTCACTCTGTATTCAGGTTATGCAGGGTTTTTGGAAACATTTAGCTACAGTGTGTAGGTTAGCTAAAATCACCCAAGCCTTCCCCGACCAGGTCTCAAGTGACTACACTCTTCCCTCACCCACAAGCTGCATTCTTGAGTATGGAGCTACTTGGAAAACCACTTGATAGCAGAGAAATCTCCCAGGTAAGTGCTAGTTTCTATGCAGAATCTGTAGATTACACCCAGTATCTATCAATCAACAAGTTAAGGATTAGATTACCTAAAGTCTTAACTGTTAGCCACTTACCAACCTGGTCTGCCTGACTGTGCCAGGAAGCAACACCAAAGACTTAGGAGCCCTCAGCAAAGCCTGCTCCCCTGGCACACAGGCACAACCTGCTTGGTTTCTGAGGCATTTCTACTGAACTATTTTAAATGGGTTTGGCAGATGGGAGAACATGCACTTAATGTGAAATAAATTTTAAGAGCACCAGTTTGTAGTTAGGATCGCTAGGGTGCAGCAAGAACTGGGAAAGTGAAATAGTATAGAAATTAAGAGGAATCCAGAGTCAAATGAAAAAAGGTTAACATTCTTTAAAAAAGGAATAGGTTAGGTGATTATTGTAACTGCTGTGAAGGGAGCTGATTAGAGATTCAGGGATAGTATCAGAACCTAAGGTCCGCAAGCAAACACCAGGAGTCTTCAGACAAGTGATTCTGGTAGCTTTTTCTTAAAACATCTAGTCCTTCATCTTACCTTCTCAATTCCACTCAGCTTTACTTTTAGCCCCCAGATGGTGTCCCCTTTATCTCCCCCCTGTGGGAACTGACTCTTCCAAAGGCAGAGCTTCAGTGTTTTGTCTACCTCCTGCTACTGTTGAGGGCCCTCCCTCAACAAGATCGTCTCAGCCTTCGCCCTTGACCGTCTGCTTGTGTCCAATGGGGCAGTGCCTGATTTCCAAAACATTAGCTCCAGGTTCTAGGAAATACAGGTTTTACATGGCTCCCAGGGTAACTGGCCCCTTGTCAGCCCCTTTAATCACCTATTTGAGCCCTCCTGTGTGCCCCAAAGCAGCTGTTCCCAACTTACTGCGCTCGGTGGCCCCCTGACCTGCCCACAACCCTAAATGTATCTCCTCAGTCTAGGCAGCATCCCTACATTCCAAACTCCAAAACTCATTTCATCTGGCAGTAGGAATAGAAGCCTCGCTTCTTAAGGCTGGAGGGGATTCTATCCCATCTCTCAAGTCAATCACCTAGCTCCACCCCCTCCACCAATTTATTCACTTCTGTTTCAAAACTGCATTCATCTCCCCAACATGGGGACAGCGACATTCAACTTTGCTCAGTCCTTTACTGTCCTAGTGTTTCTCAAGATGTGGTCCCCAGACCACTTGCCTCTCATTAGCTGAAAGTGCCTATGAAAAAGGAAGCTTGTCTAAATGCAACAGAATCCTGGATCGGATCCTGGAGCAAAGAACAGTAGTGAAAAATTGAGTGAGATCCAAATGAAGTCTGGAGTTAATAGTAATGTGCCAATGTTGACTCATTAATTTTAACAAGCGTACTATGATACTATGTTAACATTACGGCAAAATGGGTAAGGGGCCTTCAGGAATTCTGAATTATCTTTGCAACTTTTCTATAAACCTAAAAATTCTAGAATAAAGTTTACAAAAAAATTAAAAAGTAGCAGCTTCTTGGGCTACAGACCTACTGAACCTCAATTCCTGAAGCAGAAGCCCGGGAATCTACATTTTTATTAGGAACTGCCAATGATTCTTATGCAGACTCAAATTTGAAAACCTAGTTCTTCAATTCCCTTTGCATTGGATGCCTGAACAGCTGCTTCCTCTTCACTTTCTGCACCTTAACCTGGCCTTACCCTGATTTAATCTTTTAG